TCACTAATACTCATAACTGCACTGACAGCCTCTCAGTATCAGGTGAAGATAAATTTTTGTGCAGTTTCCATCGCGAATATGCTCTTCACAAAACCACAATATTTTTAAGTGTTCAAAATGAAAACCTTGTGCTGTTGACTTTGCAGATTCTTTTCTAAGACAAGCTTCCTGTTGTATGGAACAAACCCAAATATTGGTTATATAAAATGTAAAATCACACTAGAAAGTTTTGTGGGTAAATAAAATGCCTGAAATGTTTAAAATTAAATCTTATGTTACCATTTGGAATGATTTTAAAAATCACAATGCAAGGGGTGGTGGTGTTTGCCTGTAATCCCAGCACTCAGGAGACTAAGTCAGGAAGATCACGAGTCCCAGGCCAGCCTAGGCTACATAACAAGAACCTGTCTCAAGAAAACAAAAATCACAATCAAGAACTGTGTTTTGGTGACCCTGGAGTTGAGTAAAAACAGCAATAGATTTCAGGAGTGTGAAGGGGCCCAATATATAACACTCTTCCACCTCAAGTCTACCCAACTGAAAAATAAGGAAGGTGGGGGAAGGCAAAACCATCTCATTTACTATTGATATAGCAGGTCTTGGAGAATGTGGCTTATATCTGCAGGCAAGCGTTTTCTAATATGGAGCTCGAGAATTAAACTTACTTAATTCTCACCATTAAAGGCAGCACCAGACCCCATATGCTTTATCTCATAGTCCTACTACTATAAACCCCAAAAGAGGGAGAGTAGAGTAGAACACACTACTTTAAGCAAGCACAGCCCAAAATGATAGGGAAAAGGAAGAGAATGGGTTCCCATTATCTAGTTTACTCTTCCAAACTCTAGTCAGATTCAGATTGAGTCACTACTCCCCACAGGATAAGAGAATGGGGATCAGGGGATGGTCAGGAGGTTACACTTGTAAAGCTTTGTACACACTGAAGAAAAAATCAGGAGTAAAAATAATTTCATTCCAAATGAGGCTATCCCAGTGGTTAGAATATACCCTGTCTTTGCAAATAATATTGAAACTGTCTGAACTTCTACCTTTTTTTGTAGTGAAAAGTAGACTCAATAACTGGAGCAAATATTTATTGAACACCATGTGCCCTTGACTGTGCTAGATGCAGAGAGTGAAAGATGAACAAGTGGAGAGTTTCCAGTCTAGTGATATAGACTGACACATATAGCTATCATAGACTAATACAACAGAATTATAAACAAGTTCTTTGAGCACACAGAAAACTGAAAAATACAGGGAAATTTTTATCATCACATCAATTTATTTTTCTATTTATTTATGCAATAGCTACTCTAAGCCAATCTCTATGAAAGTTTTAGACCAGAAGTATACAATGATAAATAAAACAGACAAGATCTTTTTTATTGAACACATGGTACTGACATATTAACAAAACAAACACATAAATACATAATTACAAAATGGATATGTGTTATAGAGGGAAAATGCAATGCAAGGTCTTATTAGGCAAAATAACTGAGGTTCCACAATTTAGATCACAGGGTAAGAGAAAAAGCTTCTCTGAGGAAACCTAAAGATGGTTTATGACCCACCAGGCAGTAGACAGGCAGGCAAAGTAGGAAACAGATCATTTCAGGAGTAGGAAAGTTATTTACAATAGTCTTTAGGTGGAAGAAGGCTTGGTGGGTTTGAAGGAACAGCATGAAAGGAGGATCGTGATGGAATGGTGCCAAAGGCCATATTGTGAAGAGTCACATAGGCCACATTAAGGACTTTACATTTTATTATGGTCATTAGAAAGTAAGGAGAATAGTGTGATTAAATTTACCATGTATTGGAGGATACAAGAGTAAAAGGAGAATAAAAAGAGGCTGTAGTTTGAGATACAGGTGAGAGTCAATGGTGGCTAGAACTTGGATGAACCAATGGCTATAGAGAAGTGGAAAGATTCAAGAAATACTTCGTGTATAAAAGCAACAAAATGTGGTGATAAATCCAGCAACTGGTAGGATGAGAGTGGTGATATTTGTGAACATGTCAAAAAAGGCCTGCTACATTTCAGACTTGAGCAATACCTAGCAAAAATGACACATGAGCTAGGTCTTGAAGACTCAGCTGGAGTCTATCTGAAGAAGGAGAGGAAAGGGTGAAGGACAGGGAGGTGTGAGGACTGTGTCATATTTGGAATAGCACAATTCATATTCTGACACAATAGGAGTATAGGGTATGTAATAAAAATGCAGGGAGATGGTGACTGAACACAGACTTTGAAGGCCCTTGAACTTCTGATAAAAATTTCTGGTTTGTTTGTCTAATAACCAGGGTAGCATCACTTCAGATCCATTTCTGTGTTGATACTGGACTTTTGGGACTTCAAGATGGGAGTTTCAGAAAGAGATTCTAGGAAAAGATTTGGAAATTACCTATAGATGGTGGCTATAACCACTGAACAAAGTGAGATATCCTATGGAGAGTACAAAGTAAAAAGAGAACCAATGATTAACCTATAGGAGGATCTTTGTTTACAGGACAGGCAGAAGGACAAATCAGAAAGAGATTTGAAAGACATGAAATCTTTATGAATGGTATTAATGAATAACAAGTAAGCCTGGCATGGTGGGTCATGCTTGTAATCCCAGTTATGTAGAAGGTAAAGGTAGGAGGATCATGGTCTGAGGTCTGCCCTGGGCAAAAACACAAGACCCTACTTGAAAACTAACAAAACCCAAAAAAGGAATAAGCAAGCGCATGGCTCAAGTGTTAGAGCACCTGCCTAGCAAGCACAAGGTTCTGAATTCAAAGCCCAGTACAACAATAACAATAATAAAAAGTTACGTGAATGTAGTCATTTTCTCTTGAAACAGTGAAGACAAATATTAATATTTGCAGCTTAGCATGGTGGTGAACACTATAATCCCAACACTCAGGAGGCTGAGGCAGGAGGATAACGAGTTCCTGGCCAGCATGGGCTGCACAGTGACAGCCTGCCTTGAACAAACCAAGACAAAATAAAAAATCCCCCAAAATTTCAGACCACAGATTATCACGGGAAACTGAAACCAAGAAAAGTGAAACTGTGGACAAGGAGGGGACTACTGTAGAAACAATAAGCTCACAGGGATGAACTGTTATTGAAGTATTCTTTTGTAATTGCTTTCTTCCTGGTTAAAGGTTAATGACAGTAGAAGTATAATTATAATAATCTTAAAAATAAAACTAATTTCTCAACTAGGGGTGATTTTGCCTTCCTCACACCCATGGCACAAGGGATACTTAGCGACGTCTGGAGACATTTCTGGTTGTCACAGCTGAGTGGGGGAGGGTGCTACAGGCATTTAGTGGGTAGAAGCTTTTGAACATCTTACAATGCATAAAGCAGCCACCTAACAACAAAGAATAATCCAGCTAACATTTCAACAGTGTAAGTTTGAGACGTCCTAGTATAAAAATATCTACTCCAATAAAGGTCAAATCTAAAAATTTAAGAAAAATGCTACTGTTACAGAATTCAGTATCCTTTTGAACATGGATGAAAAAGACTTCTAAAATTTAAAAGTAAAATCAATTTTATTTTGGTCTTCATATAAATGTCATTATCATTTCTTGCATCCTTAGCTTCTTTTTTTCTTTCTTTTTTTTGGGGGGGAAGGGGATCTAGAGTTTGAACTCAGGGCTTCATGCTTTCAAAGCAGCCACTCTACCACTTGAGCCATACCTGTAGCCTTATCTTTAGCTTCCTGATGTTATATGAGTCATAAAACCAATGGTCTTCCTAAAGATGTTTACAACCAGTAATTTTATTTCTCTCTTCATATTTGGGAAAAATTTTTATGAACATACTAAAGGGAAACTAAGAACACATCTAAAAAAATTTAAAGTGGGAAGTGATAAATATTGGTACCTCATTAACTGCTAAAATCAAAGAATGGACTAGGTATATGGACTGATGTTTCTTTCTACTCAAATTTCCTCTGTTGCCATTTATGAAGGAAAAACATTCTATAACAGACTTTGTGTGTTTAATCTTAACTCAGGGAAAATTTTTATGACTGAGCGATAAACCTAAAAAACTGGAGTTCATATTGGAAGCCCTTATGCTACTAAGTATAATGACACCAATGGGCATTACCATTTTTAAAAGTGTAAAGAAATCAATGAGCAGATTGTCATTACAGAAATTCATTCTGCAACACAGACACCACCCAAGAGATTGATATTTTATGCTTAGAAAACTTAACATAAAATTAAATTGCAAATATTTTCTTACAATCTCCTAAAATTACGGCCTATGGCAATACATTGCTAATATGAAGCATTTGTTCAGCTCTAGTGAACATATTTCCTCTATGATTTATGTGAAAGAAGTCTTCATTTGCTTCATCATGGAGTTAGTAATTAGGTTTCTTTTCTTATATTAATCCTGGAAAGTATAGGAATTTCTTTAAAACAAAGCCAACAAATATGACGATGAATTATCAATAAATAATAGTCAAATTAAAAACTTGAGGTCTTTTCTCCTTGTGTTTGTGACTATGTCATTTCAAACATCAGCCATTATTCCATTATAAAATGTATAAAATGCTTGTAAATATTCCACAGAGCAAATTCATTTCCATTTTGTAGGAAACAAAATGGAGTAAGAAATTCCAAGAAAAACAATAGATTATGGTATTTACCCCTGGGATTGAAAAAGATTAAATAAAGTTTCAATTGTTTTCCCTCTCACCCAAAGTCAGGAAAAACAGAAAAAGAGTTGTCTAAACTATTGAGATGTGAAGAATAGCCTGTGAGATGCAAGAAAAGATAAAATTGATTCACTATTATCAGCCCAAAGAACCTCTATGGAGCACTTTCTAGCCAGTGAAGTATTTGCTTATTAGCAAGCTTCAGAATACACATAAAAGGAAATAATGTCCTGAAACTTTAAAAAACATATGCATTTAGATTTATGCTGAAATTTATTTAACTTAAAAAATTACAAGATTTTATACAAAAGTATGATAGACAACTCTCACCTTAAGCATTCAGCATCGTTTTGAGGCTTTTCACTGATTTTTATTTTCTCTGCCTCTAGGTATTTGGTAGTACAAATGGCCTCATTCTCCTCATCTTGAAGAGCTAAACAATTAAGATTATTCTCACAATCTTTAAAAATTATATTTATTCACTCACATAAAAAATACTCTATTTTTGGTGTAGCACATTAAATATATGTACTAATGATTTTTATATTTTACTTTGATATAGCAATTAAAGGCACAAAAAAGAGCTTCACAGAATTTGTGACATTAAGAATACTAGCTCTATAACAGTAATCAATTCTGTACTGTATCTATTCCTTTTTAATACCAATGCTATCACTAGATCCCAACATCTTAACACATTCTAAAAGAATAATATAATCCTATATTGCACAATATTATAATTGCCAGAAAAACAAACTAATTCATGAAGATAATACCTTTAAGTTTTCTCTGGAGGGTACATAATTCTTGCATCAATTCAGACTTCTGCTTTTGAAGTTCATTTAACTGACCATTATCATGTTCCATTGACTTTATTTCTAGAAAAAAAATACAGCACCACCCAAAAAGTTACTTAGGAATAAATCTAATCAAGGAGATGAAAGATTTGCACATTGAAATTATAAAACATTGATGGAATAAACTGAAGAAAGAACAACTAAACAGAAAGATATCCCATGTTCGTGAACCAGAAATATTAAAATGTCCATACTACCCAAAGCAATGTACAGTTCAATGCATCACCCATCAATATTTCAATGGAATTCTTTACAGAAACAGAAAGCAAAAATATTTAAAGTATGTATGCATATAGATGAACAAAAGATTATTTTAAATATTTATTTGGTGGTTCTGGGAATTGCTAGGCAGGTATTGTATCACTTCAGCTGCATCCTTGGCCCTTTTTGCTTTACTTACTTTTAGAATAGGGTCTCTTATTTATACCCAGGCCAGCCTGGACTGTGAGACCAGCCTGGACTGTGATACTCCTATTTATGCTTCCTGCATAGCTGGGATGACAGGCACATTCCTACTACTGGTTGAGATGGGATTGTGTGAACTATTTGCTTGGGTTGGCCTTAACTGTGATCTTCCCCATCTCTGCCTCCCAAATAGGTAGCATTACAGACTTGGGCCACTGATACCCAGTGACTTTGAAATATGTAAATATGCCTGCAATTATTAACTTTTGCTCATGTAGTAAAAATTTTAACAGTATATGGTCAATATAAGCCCCAACTGGCTTCCCTTAATTACCTAGAAACTATTATTAATAAACTAAGTGGCACTCATTAATCACCAGTTGGATACAAAAGATGTTAGTTGATGGTTAGGCAACAACAACAACAACAAAAAAAGACAAAGAATGAAAATATTCAATATACTACTAAGTAAAATAAACTTCTTAGCAAAAGAAAAAAAATAAACTTCTTAGCAAGGTAAGGAAATCATCCTTCATAACTAAAGCATATTTTAAAACAGCATTACATAGTACTCACTACATGACTAAAAGATTTCACAATAATGTTCACATTGTTTATTCTACCTGAAATCTTCTTTTTACCTTAATTCTCACAACTAACTCCAATTCATCCTTTTTAAGAATCATCTCCTAAATTTTCATACATTTTTTTCTCTTCCACCATATCTTCTGGGTCTCCAATTATATTTACATCAGACTACTTGATGTTATCCCATAGGCCTCTGGGGAGCTTTTCAGTCTTTTTAAGCCTTACTTACCTCTGTATGTCTGCAGTCTCTGTTCTGCTGTTAATCCCTTCTAAGGAATTGTTCCTAACAGATACTATATTTTTTTTTAGATACTATATTTTTTAACTTCTCAAGCTCCTTTGGTTGTTTCTGCATAATGTTTTTTATTGAGATATAATTCACATACCAGATAATCAACCCTTTTAAAATGTATAATTCAGCCGGCTTTTAATATCTTCACTAATTTCTGCATCTATTACCATTATTTTAGAACATTTCAACACCCCAAAAGGCACTCCGTTCTGACTGCAGTCATTGTCAATTTTTCTCCACATCCCCCAGTCCTAGACAATCACTAATCTACTTTCTGACTACTTTTTGCTCTCATGTTTCTCCTTGCCTTCATCTCTCCTTCCCTCCCTCCTACTCTGTTCCTACTTAAATGTAGGTTCCATGTGGACAGGGACTTCTTTTTCTTCTTTTGATCACTGCTGCAACACCAATGCCTATGCACAAAAAGTGCATAATAAATATAATTGGATGAATGAATATACTAAGCAAGTTTCAGAAATAATTTGTGAACAAAGCATAGTTTCCATTCCAATGGAAATTTATACTTTAGTGGAAGAGACAGACATGAATCAATAATCACATAAGTATGCAATTACACTGTTTTAAAGAAAAGCTATGAAGAATATAGCCAGAGGAACTGACCTAATATGGGACTGGAAGGGGGGATTATCAGAGAATTTCCTGAAGCAAGTATCATTTGATCTGAGATCAGAAGAATAACTGAGTTGAATAGATAAATATAAGAAAAGGCTTATGAATTCAAAGGTCCTGAGGCTGGAAGAAGGATAACCTGGAAAACAGAAGGCCAGCATACCTTTAGCACAAAGGGTAAAGGCTGCTGGGTGAGGCTGGAAGATAGAGAAGCATGAGACTGGGTAGGGAAGGCAAAACATGTTGAGAAACTTGACTTGCTATGCTTATCAGGATATTTTTAAATAGAGAATAACAAGAGATTTTTAAACAAGGTATCGCTTAAGAGGCTGAATGTAATAGTACAGTACTAACAATATCATTTAAAGAAACATGGATAATAATGTTTTAGAAACCTCAAGGTGTGAGAACAGATCCAATTCCAGGGTTAAAAAATAAAAATCAAAGATGTCTGGCAGTGGAAGAAAACACTGGCAGTAGTAGAAAATAATAAAAACAGTTATGAAGAGTTAAAGGTGGAGATTATTCAAAATCTAATGCAAGTGGCTGACTAGTCACAGTTACTGCTAAAAGCTCAGTGCGAAAGGTCAGAGGGGGAAACCAAGGGAAGAAAGAAAAGAGAGGAAAAATTCAAGTGTCAGGAAATAACAGATGTGGTGGCACGAATTAGAAGAGGGCATGGAAGAACAAACACTGACAGCAAGAAGACAAATGGAAATTAAAACTGCCCTGGGAAAAAGCTCTGGTATCTGCTCAAATTTGAACACTTCTTGCTGAACCTCTACTACCAGGGAGAAAAAGTCACCAGAATCAGTTTCACAGGTGAATTCTTTCAAACCCTGAAGAAATAGATAATTCCAGTGTTTACATTTTTCCAACTAGAGAGAGAGAAACCATTCACGTTCTTTTTATGAAATTAGTATAACATACATATAAGGAGATCAAGCTCACATATAAATATAGATGCAAAAGTCTTAAAGAAAACAGTTATCAATAGAAGTCAGTAATACATTAGGAGACTTAAGAGACCACAACTAAGTCAGGTTAATGATAAGACACATATTAACAAAACCCACTATATTAATATATCTTAGTGGGAAAACCACACGATCATTTACAAAGAGGGAGGTTGGGGGAAGGAGCAGGGAAGGAAGAAGGAAAGGGAAAGTGAGAACAAGAAGCAGAAGACATAAAGAGACTGTCAGTCTAGCATCATGATTAATAATAAAATTCTGGAAGTATTTATGTAAAAGTTAGTAATAAGGAAAGGTATTAACACTATTTAACAATCTTTAAAAAGTATCAGACAATGAAATTAAATTTTAAAATGTAATTTTGGAAAACAAAGACAAAGTTATCAGTAGCTGAAATTGGCACAATTACAAGATAGGAAAATTCAGTGAAATCAACTACAAAGAAGAGAATTAATTAAAACACAAATATTGTTTTGGGATAGGAAGATTCAAGATTAGAAAGTTATAAATTTTCCCTAAATTCATGAATAAATTTAATGCAATTCTAATTAAAATACTGGATCTTTTTGAGCTGACCAATGAAGCTTACTTTTATTTAGGAAAGTAAATTTGGGAGAATCAATAATAAAAAGCAAGAAAAGAGGGTTTTTTCATACTATGAAACTAAAATAATTTTAAAAATAGAAGATAGAGTACAGAAAGACATGAACAAATGTAGAATTTCAAATTATCTGGAAACAGATGAATTATGTCATAAATACTATTAAAACAGCTGACCAGCCACTTGAAAACAAGTTGGATCCCTAGCCTCTCACACTTAAATGCATTCTAGATATATGTAAAATATAAATAGGAAAAATGAAACAAAATTATCAGGAGTAGTCATGGTCAAACGTTTTTAAAAAATTAATGTTTCACAGAGAAAGCCCTTCTAAGCTGTAGATAAAATTCTGAAGCCAAAAAGGAAAAGACTAATTAAAGTGACTGGAAAACTTTTATTTTTCTATGTCAGTCTCCCCTCTCTCTCTCTCCCTCTGTCTCTCCCCCTCTGTCTCTGTCTTTCTGTCTCTCTCTCTCTCACACACACACACATACAAACACACAAGCAGATACTGTAAGTAAAGTTAAATGGTAAACAATAAACTAGGAAATAATATATCAGTCAGAACAAAAAGAAAGATAAAAAATATAAACAAATTCTTTTCTGTTCACAGAAAAAAGAAACATAAATGGTCAACCAATTCAGAGAAGTAAATTGAACTTTGTGCAAAATTAAACAAATGCTAACTAAACCAACAATAAATATACTGTCAATCAGCAAAAGCTAAAATTATTGATACTATTCAGATCATTAATGATATGGAATAATGCTATAGGAAAATAGGCACTCTATTTTGGTAAGAAAAATAAGACTTTAAGGAACATAAATTGGCATTGAAGGCTCTTAATATTTCCTTTGACCTAGTAATTTCATTAGGTTTAGAAACTCAGATGGAGTCCCCTTTTGATGACCACATAAGCTGTTTCCTGATTTTTAAGTTATGTTTTCTTTTCCTCAACACACCACAATCAGGCCTACCACCTGCTCATCGTTTCTTACATTCTCTGGGAACTTTGCTTCTCTTTTGAGTTTTTAGCTTTACCTCTTTACTGACTTGAACTCAGCAAAAATTTAAATATGTTCAAATATCTCCAGTCTCAAAGGAGAAAAATGAAAACAGGATGACCTTATTTCCTCACTACAAACCCTCCTCTTGACTTCACTTCTCCCTTTATTATCAGACTCTAGCATATCTACAAAGAAACGTCAAAGACTATGTCATAGTTGCCGTGTCCTCTCTTCCTGTTGATCAGCCTGTTACAGCTTAGCTTCTGCCTTTCCTTTCTTTTTACTTCAACCTGCTCCTTTTTCTAAAGTTTGTCAGTGACTACTAAGTTCTACTTCTTAATCCTTACCCTGGTTAACAGCTCATGAGTATTCAATGCGGGTTGACCTCCCCTCACATACTCTCTCCCCTAGGTAACCATGAATTCACACAGTAAAGTACCTGCTCCTTTCTTGGATCTCTTTCTCAGGCTCTTTGCTAGCTTTCTTCCTCTTCTTGGCAGACCTCTCTCTGAGCTCTTAAATATCCAACTATCATTTTGACATCTCCACTTAAATCTCTCACTTGATATTGATCACCCTTCAGATCTCAGTCTAAAGATCACCTTATCAAAGGAAGTCTTGCTTAACCTCCTAGTCCAGGTTAGGTCCACTATTATATGTTCTTCATACTTCATTCATATGAAGAAAAAGGATGTTTTTCTCCTTCAGACTCAGTCACTAACTTTTTGTCTCATTCATAGTGTTAGGGATATAGCATTAAATAAAACGAAGTCCCTGTCCTTAAAGAGATTAAAATTTTGGATGAAACTGTTATGAAATACCTGAAGATAAACTTTCTGGAAGTATACAAACCAACAGTATCAGGTACCATGGAAGCAAATCTATTAAAATAAACCTATAGTTCTGGGAAAAGGACACAAAATAAATGACTCCAACAGTATTTGTGTTATCAAGGCCTTTTTTCTTTTTAATTTTATAAAGGGATAATTTACCTAAAGTTCATCCATTTCAAGCATATAATCCATGAATTTAAAAGTCATTATACCTGTGAATCCACTCCCACAAACAAGAACCCATATATTCCCATCAAGGCCAAAAGATTCCTTGTGACCATTCACATCCATTTTAATCCAGGTAACCAATGACATGCATGCTATTACTGTAGATTAGTATGCACTGTGGGTGCACCCTGAGATGCACCCAAGCTGAATGTCAAATTTATTATTTTATTGCTAAGTATTCTACTGCATGGATATATCAAATTTTATCCCTTCATTTCTTAATGGACATTTAAATTATGTTCAGTTTTTCAGTATTGTAAATAAAGCTGATAAAAACTTAGTGTGGACACAGGTTCAATTCCTTTGGAGTATTTAGCTGTAGAGTACCTGGGTTGTATGGTTAATATATGCTCAAACTTTTAAGAAAGTGAAGAACATTTTTAAGGTAACTGTACCATTTTATTTTACATTTTCATCACTACCATATGGGGTTCAAATGTTTCACATTCCTGTCATCAGTTGGTTTGGTCCGTTTTTTGTTTTTTTCATTTTAATGAATATACAATGGCTTTAATTTGTACTAAATTTTTGTCTTCTTTTTATAGCCTCATCATGTAAAACATATCATTGATCTTAGACCATTCTGTTTTTACTAGTATAAGCATTAAAAGCTACCTATATACCTCCCAACACTTACTGAGCTATAAAATTTTAGCATGTTAAATCTGTACTACCACTCTGTTAAAATTGCTTTCTAAATACTTTGGTTTAACCTCTGGCCCACAATTTTCTTATAATTGTTTAAAATATTCTTGGATATTTTGTTGTTAATGATTTTTAATTTATTCTTTTAAGGTTAAGAGCATATATTACGAATGCTTAACTAATTGAAAGCTGACATTTTCTTTATTATAAAATTCTCCTCTTCATCTTTGATAATATTCTTTCTTAAATTCAGTTATATCTGATATTAACATAACCCCTTTAACCTTTTCACCCATTTGGTTTCAATCTCTTTGCATCTTTAATATCTTTAGACTCTCTTCTACATAGACTAGAGTTGAGTGCTGTAGTTTTGCTCATATGTTCCCCTTTTCTAACTTTTATTCAGATTACATAAATAATTTTAAGGTTACTTTTTAATTTTTATATTGTCCTTTAACTATACATTTTTGCATTTCCCTTATTAATTATTCTAGGAATTAAACACCTCCTGTAATTTTTCAAGATTCCCTCTCCCAAGGATACTGACCATTAAGAAATGGCTTGAGGATAAAGCTAAAATCCCACAGCATTCTTAGAAAATCATGGTCTAACGTTAAAATCTAGGATATAAATTTAAAATCTTTTGCTTTGATCTCAGAAAAATCCAAAGTGATACCTCAAGAACCATTCAGTACAATGAGGAGGCCATTAAAAAGCTTAAAGACATTGTTTCTCAGCAGTTTCAGTAGAAGTCAAAAGAAGAAAAGGCCTTGTCTAAAAGAGATTTGTAGTTATGGGTTTTTCCTACTGGAATCAACCTCAGACAGATTCATGTGAAACTTACAAAGTTTTAAAGAGAATTGTATTTTCACAAACACAATGGATAGACAGTAAAAAATGAAAAAGGAGCCCTTGGATACTCAAATTTACATAGTACAGAAAACTGAGAAAAATAGTAGCTGCAAGGGTAAGACATCTTTTATAAAAAAGTAATGACTTAGAAAAGAAGAGGGCAGAGCTAAGCAGCATGGAGACTCATTCCCAGGCAGGAGGATGTCTGAGTCCTAAACAAGGAGTTTCTAGTATGTCTGTTGTTGGACTTCAGAACTTGGGCAATGACACCTGTGTTTTTCTGAACAGAAGTGTCTTTAGAGATTTTCCTATGCGTATCTCACCACAGTGGACTGAACATGTGAGGAATAACTACTTTCTTTACTTTGAGGCTTGCAGATCAATAAGAAATGTACTTAAGCAATTCTATAAGAATGGAAATCATCAAGCAGCCTCATGTGCAATTGGACCTGATTTAGAGGCAGACAGACTGGGCTTTAAGCTAATGTTACAACACAATCATTCAAGTTTGAAAACTGTGATTTGTTTTTGACTTTCCCTACTTCTGTTTTTATTAATGTCCTGTCATTCTTCCTAAACACCTTTTTAATTCACTCCCTCTTGTTTTCTGGCAACTGCATTAATTCAGTCTATTGTCACACAGTGCACTAACTTTTGTACTACTATTCCTGAAATGGAATTCTCCCCACTTGGTGTGACCTTAGTTCCTAGATGGATTGATGGTAAAATGAAATTCATAGCACCAGCCCTACCCTCTATTACAAATTCCACCACACTGTGCTATAAATATCTGCTTACATATTTGCTTCTCATACTTTTGAATTCCATAACACCAGGACCTAAAACAGTGTCTGTCACATAACAGACAATAAACATACATTGACACTGGATGAATGGTCAGTTGCTCAGGTCACATATACCTCTAAACAACACAAGACTGCTCACAGTAAAAATATACATCCATTAAGACAAAGTAGAAGCGAACGAATATCTATGCAACAACCCAGTTTGCTTAGGAGGAAGTTAAATTTCTGGAAAATTCACTAATTCCAAGTAACTTATTTTCATTAATGCTGACAAATGAGGCAATACTATGCTTCATACCCCTTTTCAGAATGTTTGCCTGGTTTTCTAAACCAGATATTTCAACCTTGACATTTTCTTTCATTCTAAGCTCTCTTTTCTTTGTTATTTCATACTCATTATTGAAGTCTGTAATTTCTTTAATAAATTTTTCTTCTTCTTCTGTCACTTTTTTTATTGTAGCTTCCTGAATAACAGAAATAAAATAAAAGGTCAAATATAGATGCTGGCTGCAGTATTTTTCTCTAATAACTTAAAATACAATCTTGAAATTATTAACAATGGAAGTATTAATTTTAAACTTCCTGGTATTACTACAAAAATGCTTCACTCCTTTAGTAAAATTATTTTAAGACAGACTATTGCAAAATAACATTAAACTATCTTCAAATGTAAGACTTATCCTTAAAGTTTTGAAAGAATTACTGAGGTAGAAATTCTACTACTCATTATTACACTTCTATTTATTTGTAAATTAAACTTTATAGTCATATATGCCATTTTTTTCATTATAATATAATTTGGGTGGCACAATAATAACCAAACTTGAAAATTAAAATCTATACTCAAAGGAATTACTACTTTATAAGAAGAAGAAAGAAATAAGGATATGCAAGGAAACCTTTTAAAATGTAAATTGATGAAGGCAAAATTATATATTCAGTTCAAAATAAGTTCTAAGTAATAGTTTACATTTTGTGAAATATCAATATAGCATAGAAGTAAGAATTTCTAAAAAAAATTAGGCAATGCAAAAACCTAAACTTTTTGACAATGCTGGAATCTAAACATTACTGTATATTTCTATTTTTTCTAAGACATGTCAGTTAATTACGAGCCACATTCAAAACCACCACATCTGTTGGTTCTGACTTTTGAACTGCATTTTTAATATCTTTAAATATATTTTCTTCAAAATGTCAAGTAATCACAAGTCACATCTCAAAACCAGCCCTGCATTCAAAACTACTGCTCAGTGTTGTTGCCTCCAACTTAAAATTGAAAAGTAAGCAATATCCATCCCTCCCACACATTCATAAACATCCTGAAGGGAGAACCTCTGCCTTTCGGAAGCACTAAAGCCAAAGTTGTGGAGCCTGAGCCATTCAAGGCAGTTGCACTTCTTCTGTTAGGCTTAGTACACTTGCAAACAATTTCTACATTACATCTCTGCCAACAGAACTCTTCAAACTATATCCCTCTACTGACTGATTATAAATAGCATTTAACACTTTTCTTTATTTGAATAGTGCTACCTGCCAATGGGCATATAGATAATTTTCTAAAAGTACACCTAAGTATCTTTAAATAATTTTCCACTAAGTGGCTAGAGACTTACAAAGGTTTGAAGAAGCAAGTTCCTTTGGTTTGTCATTTCACTGCACTGTCTCTCTAAAGCATTTTCATGATTTTTCAAAAGCTGTAAGAGGGAGGATTTTTCAGAAAACTGCTGAACCTTCAAAGTGAAAAAGGCAGAAATTAGAATGAAGCAATTAATTAGACATCTTAGAGTATCTTCGCTAATAGAGCAGATATGCACAGTATAAAACTCATTTTGATTAATCTTTAAATGCAAAATAAAAACCACTCTAAACATCTTACTATATATGCACTATATTAAAAGTGCTCCACAATTACAGTTTTGTAATTTCTTTCCCCCCCAAGACTCAAGGACAAAAGTTTTCTTTATCCTCCCTGTACTTAGCACAGTTCTTAGTATACAGGTACTAAAGCTTTTTTGACTATACACATTGAAATGTGCTTCTGCACAGTTCATTTTAAAGAACAGGTTTGTAGTCTCACAACTTACAGTGGAGGAATAAATCATTTATACAGTATGACCAATAAAAACTGAGATACAGTCTGCAAAATACATGCAAAAAATCCAGACCCATGACTATAATTATATAAAATAAAACAAAAATGTAGTGGTTTAATTCCTCAGATAGGTTTATTTTGTGTGTGTGTGATTCTTGGTTCCGAACTCAGAGCCTTGCCACTTGCTTGGCAGGTGCTCTATAACTTGAGCTATGCCTCCTTGCTTTAGTTATTTTTGGTATAGGGTCTCCCCAGGGGTGGCCTCAGACCACAATTTTACTTGTTCTCCTATGTAGCTGGGATTACAGACATGCTCCACCATGCCTGGCTTATTTTGTTGAGATGGGCTTTAGCTAACTTTTTGCCTGGGCTGGTTTCAAACTGTGATCTTCCTGATCTCTGCACCCCAAACAGCTGGGATTACAGGCATGAGCCACCATGCCTCTCAAATAGGTTTTGAGAACTTATTTTTTACATTATTTTTGGGGGTGGGGTCTGGATCACTTGTATTTCAAAGCCTGCAATAGTTGGTTAGCACTGCTAGCTGAGCAGGTTACAGTCTGACTTCCCAAGTCTCCCTTTAGGCATTCCACCAACAGATTCCCCACAAACAAGACAGAGACACTGGGAGATGTTCTAACATGTGTCGGAGAAGATGACCTCTGCTTCTCCCCATTCTCTTACCCCACACAAGTATTCATTTAAAAAATTTTAGTACTCCATTTGGTTCTAAGGAACAAATGATATAATAAACATTAATATTAGATATGTAACTCTTATTTCATTTGAACTTTAAAAACTGAGACTTGGATAAGGAAATGAAAATCAGGGTGTTTTGATATGTAAAAGCTAAACCTGATGCCAGGCCAAAAACTTTACCACAGTGTTTGGTACTGGCCCTCATAAGAAAGCATCATTTCCCATTTGGGGCTGTTCCCATCCCTACTGAGAAAAGAAAAAGGATATAAATTCAACTTAAATTGCAGAAAGCAAGATTTATGTTAGTTATAAGAATTTTTCAAGGTGAGAGGCAGGTTGTGAAATCTCTGTCCCAGAAGATTTTGAATAGTAAAGAGTGTAGGAATAGTCTAGTCTCTAGGCAAAGGGTTGGCTTAAAAGATATTTTGAAATATTATGGCTACAAAGTCCTAGGAATACTGGCATTTTTAAAAAGCAGCTGAAATAAATGAGAAAATATGATCTTAAATTTATAACAGATCACAGCACACCTACAGTATGTGATGCTGTTCTTGCAACCCTGTTTTAAGAAAGACATCAAAAGAGAAAGATGAGAGAAGAACAATTTACACGACCAAGGGAATTGAGAAATTGGGGTGAAGAAAGAATGACACAGTTGGTATTTTATGATCTGAGAAAACAAAAATTAGAAAACATTATGTCCAGATCTATAAAATCACATAGAAATTAGGAACAAGGGTAAGCAAGAGAATGGTCAGGAATTTGTGAATATTTAGTGATTACATAAGTGAGAATAAAATATGATCCAGAAATGCTCAATACTTTAATAAAGATTGTGTCATTAATTAGGGGCAAATCCATGACTAACCCCAGTTCTTCTGACTTCCTTTTTTCTAAATCATGTTAATATGGAAATGTTAGAACTGTTTCAAAGTAATGAAATGATAATTCTGGAGCTAAAAAGGGACTTTAACTTCTCATAATTGTGAAAGTTCAAAGTATATAAATTTAGAGCCAGACATGGTAGACACACCTGAGATCCGAGCTACTTAGAAGGCAGAGTTTGGGAGGATCACAGAGGCCAGCCTGGGGGGCAAAAAGTTACCTCAACAAAATAAGCCTGGTGTGGTGGTTCATGCTCATAATCTCAGTTATGCAGGAGGCATTGATAGGAGGATTTCAGTTCCCAGGCCAAGCTGGGCAAAAAACATGAGTCCCTACCTGAACAATAACTAAAGCAAAAGGGGCTGGAGGTGCAGCTTAATTTGGGAAGCTCTTGTCTAGCAAGTGCAAGGCCATGAATTCATACCTCAGATACCTCAGTACTGCAGAGAGTGGGGGGGAAAGGAGGAAATGAGGGAAGGAGGGAGGGAGGGAATATGAAAGTTTAAGGGCCTCTTAGAAAAAATTTTCAAATACTTATTCCTTATCCCTCAGAGCTTATTGAGAAGGCTGCTGGAGTATACACCTAACTTAGATTTGCTACAGTGGACAGCAACATGACTACCACCCAAAATGCTATGGATATCCAATATTGTGTTAGATAAACTTTGGTTTAATCTACTAGGTAATTCAAGTATTATTAACTTCAGAATCAAAATTCCTGAATTCTGATTCTGTTTCTGACACAAATCTGCTATAAACCACCTGTGCCCAAAACCCCCAAATGGAGAAATTATTAAAAATATTTTTAAACGAGATAAACAAATTTATTATTCAAATTCAGAAAGCTTTGTTTAAGGATCATCTATCAACAACTAAAAGCTAAAACTTCCCAATGAAAGTAGAAGACTGCCAGGTACCTGTGGCTCATGCCTATAATCCTAGCTATTAAGGAGGTAGAGATAAGAGGATCACAGTTTGAAACCAGCCCAGGCAAATAATTCTTGAGATCTTGAAAATACCCAGCACAAAAAAGGGCTGGTGAAGTGAATCAAGTGGTAGTGTGCCTGCCTAGCAAGTGTGAAGCCCTGAGTTCAAACCCCAGTACTATCACAAAAAAGGCCATAGTATAACAATTTTTAAATTTACTTAGGATATCTGATGAAAATATTTAATATGAGAAGGTGTTGGCAAGTCAAGGAAATACCATAATAGAGAGAGTGGCAGGTATTTGGAAAAGCTGGTGTCAGAAAGGACAAGAACAGCCCCTACAATATGCTGACTCAAATTATTGAGGATACCCATAGGTTAAGGTTGCAAAAGCAAAACGAGGCCTAATATTAATGTACTGCCCTCATATCTTAATGGAACTAAAGGGACCAAAAACATTTGGATCTGCCCAGTTCATCTCTGACAAGTGTAAGTTATTAAGTCCTCAAAAATAAGATAGCTTTTCATAGCAATCTATTTGTGTTAAGTATTTGCAAGATAGGGTCTCATGATTTGCCCGGATTGGCTTCAAACTGCCATCCTCCTGACCTCTGCCTCCTGAGTAGCTAGGATTACAGGCATGAGCCATCAGTGCCCAGGTACACTGTGACCTTTTGTAGTTAATGACTCTATGTAACTTTTTACGTGCTGATTAAAAGAGGAAAATGTGGAAGTAAAAGATAAAGATGAAGGTAAGCAGAAAGTGGGAGTGAAGAGCAGAGAGATTAACAATAAAAATAAAAACAAAGCAGCAGAAGAGAACTCAAAATGGAAAATTAATATAGACTTTTATGGAACAGGGAAATTATGGATATATCCTTTTTATAAATCTTTTGACTAGCTGTGTACATATTAGTTTTTGGTAAATACGCTTCATTTTTCAGCTATGGTAAAATACTGCAGCTAAGTGCCAATATTTCACATAGTTCTCTTTAATAATTGTTATACTCCCTTTTTTTTTTCTTTTGGTGGTACTGGGGCTTGAACACAGGGTCTATACCTTGAGTCAACAGCCCATTTTTGTGATGGGTTTTTTCGAGATAGGGTCTCACATACTATTTGACCAGTTGGCTTCGAACCACAATCCTCCTGATCTCTATCTCCCAAGTAGCTAGGATTACAGGTATTGGAATACTGGAATTCTTCTCCTTTTTAAAAAAGGATTAGGATGGCCCAAGTGGTAGAATGCGTGCCTAGCAAGCATAAGGTCCTGAGTTCAAACCTCATTTCCACCAAAAAGAAAAAATGTAAAAAACTATTCTTATTGGTGCTGTGCAATAAAGTCACTGTGTGTGCTGTAAAATAATTAGTATTTTTAAAAGGGGACTATATGCATTGAAATCTGCTCCAAGGAAGCTTTTATTATTATTATTATTCATATGTGCATACAAGGCTTGGGTCATTTCTCCCCCCTGCCCCCACTCCCTCCCTTACCATCCACTCCACCCCCTCCCTCTCCCCCTCACCCCCTCAATACCCAGCAAAAACTATTTTGCCCTTATTTCTAATTTTGTTGTAGAGTGAGTATAAGCAATAATAGGAAGGAACAGGGTTTTTGATGGTTGAGATAAGGATAGCTATACAAGGAGTTGACTCACATTAATTTCCTGTGAGTGTGTGTTACCTTCTAGGTTAATTCTTTTTGATCTCACCTTTTCTCTAGTTCCTGGTCCCCTTTTCTTGTTGGCCTCAGTGGCTTTTAAGGTATCTGCTTTAGTTTCTCTGCGTTAAGGGCAACAAATGCTAGCTAATTTTTTAGGTGTCTTACCTATCCTCACCTCTCCCTTGTGTGCTCTCGCTTTTATCATGTGCTCAAAGTCCAATCCCATTGTTGTGTTTGCCCTTGATCTAATGTCCACATATGAGGGAGAATATACGATTTTTGGTCTTTTGGGCCAGGCTAACCTCACTCAGAATGATGTTCTCCAATTCCATCCATTTACCAGCGAATGATAATATTTCGTTCTTCTTCATGGCTGCATAGAATTCCATTGTGTATAGATACCACATTTTCTTAATCCATTCGTCAGTGCTGGGGCATCTTGGCTGTTTCCATAACTTGGCTAT